AATGATTGAACTGCAATGATATGAGTTTATTTCCATTTTTGAAACTTTATTACACAATACACCATAACAAGTTTACCATCATTTTTACATAATCAACTAACAATGTTGTAAAGATGCAGGAAATGTCAAACAAACACTTTTACATATATTATTAATTAAATAATGAAACTGTTAACATGCCTAAGAATTGAATCTGAGGAAATGTGAAAAAACATTTTCGAACTGTGAAATGTGAAAAGTTAACCAATTAGATTTCAAATTACACAAAATCATTACGTTTTTGCATCTCTGTCTTAATGAGACATGTTACCTCTGTAAGCCCAAGTGTATTTGTGACATGTCTTTGAACTAATTGTTTTCTTACACGCTGTCGGTTTGAAACCCAATACTTGTCTGGCATGAAGTCATTTGTGGAAAACAGCCTAGAAGAAAAAAGACATGATTCAGTAATGAAAAATTGCACAAAAGAAAATGAATGGTACCTTTAAAATAATAGCATTCTCCTTTAATCTTTGTAAGCAAATGTGTTTGACCACCTAAGTTACTTTCATATATTTGTTAGTGCAGACTGCAATCAGATATCAGAAAGAAGATTTCGCAGATAATTGTCCAATATACCGTCTTGGTGTGGTGTTCCTGGTTGTACAGGATATCAAGTAGCCACACTCAATGTGCATCATTTGCTTAGTAGATTAATATAAATCATCATCGGAGAACAATGTGTAAGAAGCACAATGTTCCATCATTTTACAAGCACACACCGTGTTTTATTTATTTATTTTTTTTTTTGGAAAGTTATAGTTTTTTGCACATTGGCTTTTTTTGCATATTGGCATTTTCAACTTGGGGACTTGGCATGAAGCCCTATGGTAGCTATGTTTTGTGAATATTCATAATACTTATAGTATATCATTACAAATTGGTGGTGATTATGCTGTTAAGCATTATGCAATACTGCTTCAAAAATGATGAAAACGCTTTTTTTGGGCACTGCCACTATATTGACCATTTCAAGTTGTGTTTCAGTCCCATGAATCTGTAAGTTGTTATGTGTACAAAATAAGGTTTTCTGCAATTTTGATGCAATCTTACATAATACTTAACAGCATAATCAGCACCAATTTTAATTAACATAGATATTTAAAAAATGTAACTAGCAAAGGCCTTCAAGTCCATGGAAGTTCAAAGTCACATCTAAAAAAATGCCAATATGTGATTAATGACCATTTCACAAACATCTGCACAACTGCCAGAAAAATTATCTGATCATGCATATATTAGGACTCGGCCTGTATTTTACTAATATGGATGGTGCTGATGATGACAGGTGCAGGTGATGGCTATATAATAATAATAATAATAATAATAATAATAATAATAATAATAATAATAATAATATATTTATTTTGAGTCTAAACTCCATATTAATATGTTCATTAGACTTTACAAATATGTACATACAAATAACAGGTAGACAACTGGTCATAACACACTGTGTACACGATCTCGCCTCCCTGTACAAACAGGTTGCATCTACCAGAGAGATTAAGCTTACAGAGAGACCATACAAATGGTACCCTGGAGAGGCATTGAACTTCATTTAAAACTAGGGTTTAAAAAACCATTTAAGTCTAATTTTGCCCCTGAATCAATTTATATCATGACGGTTCTAGTGCAGCAAAGCAGTTCAAAATCAACCTGGTAGATGAACATATAACAGCAAAAAGACCAAGTGCAATTAACAGTTTAAAAATATTTTTGTTTCTTAGGCCACAGGTGAATATTTCATACTCACTCAAATAAACTGTTTATGTCTTCTATAAAATCTTCCCCAATTGTCTGGATCCAAGGACTCATAAATCTTCCTGCAATCAACATTACAGGCTCTACTTCCAGCCCTAACCTCTGAAGAAGATTTCTGCGTTGAAGGAGTACTGTACAAACACCCTGCAAAGAAATAAATGTTAAACAAAGCAGAAAAGTTGTCAAATGTACAGACAAAAAACAGAAAATATTAATGCACAAAATATGTTACTGTCAATTCTGATGCAATAATACATTGTGCTTGACTGAAAAGTTAACATTAAATTGTAATTATGCACAACAGGTAATGCCGATGTAAATAAAATATGTAACAAGCATAAGAATTCAGGCCCATTAGAGTTCAAGTTCACACTTTGAAAATGCCAGATTGAGAAATAAACTGGACATCAAAGCTGATAAATTACAGACACCATATAGGAAACAAGGCAGCAAAGCTGTCAAATGTTCAGATATTACATAGAACAAAGTGCACAAAATAATGTTTCAGCCAATTTTGATGCACTGTTACATAATGCTTTAAAATAGTACAATCATTCATACTCTCCTACATATGTACTTGAGGAGACATAGATATTGAAAACCTAGCAAGTGATTAAATTCCATGTGATATTAAAGCAATAATAACTCTTCCTTTGAGATTCAAAATTCCGCAAGAAATACATTGTAAACAATGCATGGAAATATATTCTATTGCATTTTACCACTAAAACGGTCGTTATTGTAGTAAAACTAAAATCTGTGCTTGTCAATATGGCTTTCGATGCCTTTCTTCCCGGTCGTTAAGGCAACCGTTGCCAATGACGTTTGGGTGTCACGCGGATTCTTGCATTCATTTGAGACCAAAATAACATCTGGTGCCAAACGCCTGATGCAATATGCAGATGTAAGTTGCGAGTTTCTGTACAGTGCGTCAGATAACGAATAGTCCAGAATTGCACACATTGTAGATATAAATGCATTTTGAGCAATAAGACAAATGATCTTATGAATCTTACATTATTGTTACATAGTGCTGTTGTTGTCTGCTTTTCCCGCCGTTTTAAGTAGGTCACCAGAAACTATCGCTTGATATCGCGTGACTATGCAATGACAGAGAGGGCTCCGTCAGTTAAAATCTCTTAAGAGATTAGGAAACGTTTAGGGAAAAAACCCTGGACTAACTTTGAATGCAGGAATGGGGTTGTTGACCATTGGTAAGTATGGGAAAATTGTCGTTTACTCCAGGAAATCCAAATTTTTGGCTAAAACAAAGAGTTATTATGGCTTTAAAGGCACTGAAAATGTTGTGTGAAAAAAAAAATTACCAGTACATTTAAAGTAAAACCAAAATACAGTTTGGCAGCTATGGGATGAATGTCACCAAAATTGTGCAAAAAAAAAAAACAACAAAAAACAAAAAACAAAATCATTACCATAAATGTAAAACCCATGCCAAATTTGAGCAGTATGTTAATCCTACGAATCATTCTTGCAATTTAAAAAAATAATAACTAACAAAGTTTTCTTTTCATAACATTTGTGGTGGCGTAACGTGACTGAGTGTCCCCAATGAATGAGTCCGGTCACTGGTGGTACAAATAACCCATTTTCTTTCATTTTTATATGATCAACTAACAAAATTACTGAGATGGGAAAAATATCAATACAACAATTTTAAAGTGCCCAACTTGCTATATTCTGAAATTCAGTGAAGGATTGAATCTGACAAACTGCAATGCTATGAGCTTATATCCATATCTGTCACTTTATTACACAATACACGAAAACAGGTTTACCGTTTTTATCTAATCAACTAACAAAATTGCTAAGATATAGGAATTGTCAAAAGAATACTTACATATCTAATTAGTTCAATAATGAGACTGTTAACATCCCTATGAATTAAATCTGAGGAAAAACCATGCACTTACATACGAAAAAGGCATAACTTTATCAAAACTTATTTGATCAAGCTTATTTTTTAACTTGATCTGTTTATTAGTCCTATGAATCAGTCATTCAAGTTATTTAGCAAAAATATGACATGGTTCTCATGTTATCACTATAATGGTGGACAAAATATGCTGAAAAAAAGCAGAAAAACAGCACAAGTTTTGTAAAAATGGTCTGATAATGATTTTCAAACTTGATCTATATTTAAGTGACTGATCACACCTGTGAGTTTCCACACAATACACTTATCTGTCTTCCTTGAAATGTGTTATCAATCAGTGTTTCAAATATGCTGAAGACAGCAAAAAAACTTTTGAAAATATAGACTAATCATGCTGATTTTTGAACTCGATCTGTATTTTAGGAATATTTACCAGTTCCTTAAGTTTGAAGACAAAAGGTAAAACGGTTTTCCAGTTATCGTGTTATCACTGAAAGTGCATGGTAACAATGGTGAGGACAACAGCAGGGACAGTGACAACAATAAAAGAGACAGGTGACAGTAATATGTACAGACATATCTGTCTGTGCATAAAAACAATTAAGCATCCAATAAGTAAGAAGTTATATATATATATTTTTTTTTTAATATTAGAGATATGTGCAAGTAAATACTGCATTTACTTCTTCTTTTTCTTCTTCTTCTTCTTCTTATTATTATCATTAAATAAATAAATAAATAACATACCATGTGATGGTCTATATGCAAATGTGATATGTAGATAGCCTTCAGTTTTGCCATGACATCTACTACTTTATCACCATAGAAACGGACAAGTTGCGCATAAGTTCCCTCTCCACAATCTAACAGGATGCTTTCATCAGAACTGAAGTATAATGACATTTATTTAATATTGTCAAAAGCATGTATGGACACAGTAAACTGTTTAAAAAGTAAAGGAAATAGGAAGCTTAAAGGCTGTTAGGTATTTGCCATGGTATGTCATGTAACAAAATAATAAACTAGATAAATATGAATAGAAACCATATGCTGAAGTTTATTAGCACAAAAATAACTTCCATTTACATCCAGATTTAGAACATGGTCATCAAATGTCCAGTTTATCAGCTGAAAAATGAGTCTAAAAAATAATTAGAGCTACAGGTTGAACAAGGTAGCAAAGCAGAAAATAAAGATGCAGGAAATAGGTCATTTTGTCAATTTTGATGCAATAATAATAATAATACTTATAACAGCACACTCAATGAACACTAAATTTAAATGCACAACAGGTAACATGGTCAATAAGATTCAGGACCAAGAGAATTTAAATTCACATAAAGAAAATCCCAATATGTGAAAAATGATGACAATGCATAAAAGTATTACATAATGTTTAACTGCATAAACACCAAAACTATTGCTTATGTGGAAATACAGAAAATGTGCAAAGCTTCAGGTAAATGGGAGTTAAAAGTCACATCTTGAAAATGCAAGTGGTTGAAAACAAAACTTAACATAACATAACAAAAATATTCCAATAAAGCTGTTATTCAAACTTTTAATCTATCTGTATTAACATGATATGAATAGCTCAATGAGTTTGAAGATATAAGGCACTGTTATTCATCTATAGCATTAATGTTGGTATTACACGGAATAGTCTTTTCTTTGGTAAACTTATTTGCAATATTAAACAGCATTTACCTGCATAATTATCATTGATTCCTAATTATGTGACAGTTTATTTAGACTTTCACAAACTGTATTTGGCAGACAGCTAAACCTATGGGAGTTTACAGTGAAATCTCAACATGTGTAATCTAATTTAATCGCCACTTGAAACTTAATTAGACAAGTAACTTAATACCTCTGAACTTAGCTAGTGATTACCCAAGAGGACAATTACAGACTGACCACTCTTTGTATCCATATAGCACCAAAGACTGTGAAAAATAAAAAATTCATAAAGAATTGCATTGCTTCCAAAACAAAAACAAACACACTGATCTTCCAACATGAGCTGCACTTCAGGCCTATGAATCTATTCAGTAAGTTTGAGAATTGTAAGTAACATGGTTTTCCTGCAATGGTCATCATGGCAGCAGTGCCAAAATAGGGTTTTCTTCAACTTTTATGCAATTTTACATAATGTGTAACATCATTATGACCATCGATTTTCAATAATAAAATAAAGGTATCATCGATATTCAGAAAATGGGACTAGCAAAGGTCTTTAAGCTCATGGAGGTTCAAAGTCACACTGTGAAAATGCCAATACGTGAAAAATGAAAGTTTCACAAACACCTGTATAACTTCCTAAAAAATTAACCAATCAGACTTGTTTTCCAGCTTAAGCTGTATTCAAGTCCTATGCTTCTTTCATGTAAGTGTGAGAAGGGTAAGTGGCATATTTTCCTTTAATGGTTACTATGGCAGCAGAACCCAAAATAGGGTTTTCTTCAATTTTGATGCAATATTATATTATGCTTTCACAGCATAGTCACCAACAATCTTTAATAATGCACTGTAGATAACATGGATATTTAGAAAATGTGACTAGCAAAGGTCTTCAGACCCATGAAATTTCTCAGTCACACCTTGAAAATGCCAATATGTACAGAATATGTAAACAAGCAATCAATGTACTGTAACGAGTTTCTTTCCATTTTCACCATTTTTACATAAAACAAAATCAATTTACTGTCATTTTTATATGATCAACTAAAAAATTGTTGAGATAGGAAAAATTTTAATAGAACAATTTTGAAGTGCAATTTGATCCATTCTAAGATTCTGAACATAGTGAATGATTGAATCTGACAAACTGCAATGATATGAGTTTATTTCCATTTTTGAAACTTTATTACACAATACACAATAACATGTTTACCATCCTTTTTACATAATCAACTAACAATGTTGTTAGTTGATTATAGAAACTAACAATATTGTTAAGATGCAGAAAATGTCAAAAGAACATTTTGACATGTTTAATTAGTTCAATAATGAAACTATTAACATGCTTAAGAATTAATGTATGACATACAGTTCAAGGTAGGAAAATATTACACCAATCAGTTCAGCAAAGAACTTATGATATGGCTTGAAAAGCACAGACATTTAAAACACAAAAAGTTTTAAGGTTGACATGGTTCTGAGGACCAGCCCATAATTCTGAACAGTTGGGGTTGTAGGCATTACAGCATAGTGTAGTATCAAAAGACAATTTTAACTGTATCTCTTATCCTTGGTGTTGTGGCACAATAGACAGCATCTAATTTCATTTTCATTTGTTGATTTCCTCACCTAAGATGCACTAAAATGCTGCTGACATTTCTCCGCAAATTTGGTCGCGAGGCTCCTGTTCCAAGAAAAATAATTTCTGGGAATTCTTTCTTTTCTGTGATTCCTAACAATAAATAAATAAATAAATGAATTAACCTATATCAGATAACAAAGCTGTCAAATGTACAGATCAATATGTCACAGAGCTGTTTAAAAATCAGCAGGTATCTTATGAAATATTGAGAATTATTCTAATATTATAACTCAAGGAAATAGTATGCTTCATGGAATATAGGCAAAGGAGAATGAATTGAAGATGAAATTTATTGAAGGTGTTTATCTGCTCCTGTAAGCTTGAAGTAATACAATATTCTGAAGTTGACCATGACTTTTTTAACAAGGCAGCAAAGCTGTCAAATGTACACACAAAAAGCAGAAAATAAAGCTGCACAAAATAGGGACAATTACAGACTGACCACAGGCTGACCACCCGTTGTAGCTGTAAAGCTCCAAAGATTATGTAAAAAATTTCATACAGAACTGCATTGCAACCAAACAGAAAGTAATCACACTGATTATTCAACACAAGCTGCACTTCAGTCCTTTGAATCTTTTCAGTAAGTTTGAGAATCATAAGTAACATGGTTTTAATGGTTATCATGGCAATAGTGTCCTAAATAGGATTTTCTTCAAGTTTTATACAATATAGCATAATGCTTAACAGCAGGGTGGCCATCAATTTTTTATAATAAAATTATCATGGGTATTCCATAAGCTTGAAGACAAAAGGTAAAAAAGTATTCCACGTATCATGTAAACACTGGCCCACCCTGCCTCTTTAGCCACCCAGTAAATTTAATGTAAACAAAAATATGGTTTGGCAGTTATGGGGCAAACATCACCAAAATTGTG